AGAATCACTTGAACCCAGTGGTGGTGGGGGGTGTTGGGAGGCGGAGATTGTGAAGAACCGAGATTGCGGCATTGCACTCCAGTCTGGGTGATGAGTGAAACTAACTCTGTTGCAAAAAAAATGAATAAAGAAAAGAAAATAAAATGGTTGAATGTCACATGGAAAGTTAATTTAGAGATGGTTATCCACGGCCAGGCATGGTAGTTCTCGCCTGAGATCCCAGTACTTTGGGAGGCCAAGGCAGGTGGATCACAAGGTCAAGAAATCGAGATGGTTATTACATTGTCCTTTTAACTATCTATATCAATAAATTAACCAACATTTGATGACCTGACATGGCCAGGCACAGTGCTGGATGATCATGATTCCCAAATAATTCTAGCCAGACCTTGTCCTCAAGGAGCTTCTGAGCAGGCTGAGGGGATACAAAACAGATAAATAATACTAATTCAGGAAGAATGTGTTAAATGCATGACACCTACCATGAGAATTCAGAGGAGAGGACATTTTCTAGGAACAGAGACTAAAGGAAGGAATTCTGCATGTGGTGGCATTTTAGCTGGATCTATTTCAAAAGGTATGCTTCCCCCGACAAGCCAAGAAAGTGGGGATTAAGGTAGAAGGAAAGAAAAGCTTTGAATTCTTGGAGTATTAAGGTTTTGCTTGGCTGAAGCATAGGTTACAGTTGGAGGAGATGGATGAAAGGATTGTTATAGGCAGAGAGGAAGTGCTGAACTCATGGGGAAGCTATGATTTGGGTTAAAGATAGAGCTGGGTCATGACAGGATGGATCCTGAAGCAGTAAAAAATCCAAGAAAATAAGCAGGCAGCAGGGTCTAGGATGAAGGCCAGGAGGAAAGAGCTGAGAGGTCCTCAGCAGGCTCTTAGGACAGATAAGGTAATAGGTCTCAAAGGGAATGACAGAAATGCACTGGAAAGGGAGAGATTGTAAAGCTAGAAGGCTCAAGAATTGCCTCTTGATTAGGTGAGGGAGGCAAAGGAGAATCAGCCCTGGAAGAAGACAGTGAGATTTTAATCTGGGTGACTGGAGGGACAGGGATCCTGGGCACAGACAGAGGGAAGTTGAGAGGAACACCATGTTTGAGAATGGTGACTCATATTTGAACAAGCCAGCAATGCCCAGGAGACAGCTGGAAAAGTAGGGCTGGAGATATATTCAGCAGTGAAGCCAGAGCAATCTTTACCCTTCTTCACCTGGGAGAGCCAGTAAGTCACGGCTGGAGTCTATGTGTCCAGAGTGTGAGGGTAAGGAGGGAAGCAAGGAGAGCTGGGAGCCCAAGAGTGAAGTTTTTGCCAAAAGGCATAAGAGGAAAATCGGTGTAGCACCGTACACTTTCTCACCTAGGCTCACCAAGCCCAGGGACAAGTCTCATCAAGACAAGTTTGGAAGAGAATGCTAGAGAGAAAGTGGTCAAGAAAACTGCCTTTATTGAACCTCTTGGGTTAACTTTGATTTTAAGTCTTGGAACAATCAGCCTATGAGGAGAAGCTACCCTGGCTATTCTTCCAATGTCTATAGTGAACACCTGCAGATCCTCTTTCTTTCTTCCTCCTTCCCCCTCTTCCTCTCTCCTCCCTCCCTGAATACTCTTGCTTTTTTTTGGACTGGTTTAGAGCATGGGTGGCCATTGTTGTCCAACAGGAGGGACCACTGTCACCAACAAAGGGTAACAGTCTTTCTTCTCAATATTTATCTATATCTAATATTTATTGTCAATACTGACTATGGAGAGAGCTCTCTGTGCTCCAACGATGTAATATTGGGGGTCTTTCAAATCACACAAATATATATTTGCATGATGGCTTCATTGACATTTTTATGACTTTCTATTTCTTTCTTTGTACTGGTCTCAAGAGCCACTCATAAATCTCTCAGTAACTGCATAGTGTCCCAGGGCCAGAGACCGGTCACTCCTGGCATTGTGTAGAGTCATTTAATATCCAAGGTGGTGACTAATGTCTGGCAACAAAGGCTCCATTGGGTGTCATGTGTCCTGGGACCCTGAGCGTGGGCACTCTAGGAGCACCTCATTATTGCCTGTTAGTACTGTGGTCAAGAGAAAAGTTGAGAAAGTGATCAGGAGGATGGGTCCACATGAACCCCACTGGGACATGAGAGACCTCGTTCCCGATCACTGTCAGTGCAACCTGAAATCTTAAAATCAGTTTAAAACAAAGGTATCTACCTTTATCTTATGTTCATATCCTAGGCTTTTAATAATACATATTTTTCACATGTTTACAGAAAGCAATCAACTGAGCTATTCGTGGAAAGGTTTGTGGGTTTGGTTAACGAAGTGGAGGAGTATTACATTTCAGCTGGAAACACATCCCTAGAATGCCAAAACATTTATTCCAAAGTCTGGTTTCCTGGTGCAGTCGGAGGCATGGCAATGTCTGTGTTCAGAGAGCGGGGGCTAGGGCCAGTAAAGCATTTGATCCACACGGATCCCAGAAGGCTTTTATTGTTAAATTATATTCTTTCGGAAAAACCACCCATGTCCTATTTTGTAAACTTGATATCCATACACTTTTGACTGGCAATCTATTTTAGCCGTAGGACTATGATTCACAGCAAGCCTGTTTTTTCTCTTGCTTGGGGTGGCAGCGGAAAGCACAGGGCACTTTCCAGCCTCCAAGGGTAAGGGGCAAAGGGGCTGGGGTCTCTCCTCCCCAGGAAAGCTTTCTCTGGCTGTGCCACGCTGCTCCCTGTGAGCAGACAGCAAATCTCCCCTCACTCCCCACTGCCATTCATCCAGCTCTGTGCAGTAGCCCAGCTGCGTGTCTGCCGGGAGGGGCTGCCAAGTGCCCTGCCTACTGGCTGCTTCCCGAATCCCTGCCATTCCACGCACAAACACATCCACACACGCTCTCTGCCTAGTTCACACACTGAGCTACTCACACATGCGAGCACATTCCTTCCTTCCTTCTCACTGTCTCGGCCCTTGACTTCTACAAGCCCATGGAACATTTCTGGAAAGACGTTCTTGATCCAGCAGGGTAGGATTGTTTTGATTTCTCTCTGTAGCTTTAGCATTTTGAGAAAGCAACTTACCTTTCTGGCTAGTGTCTGTATCCTTGCAGGGAGATGAGGATTGCTATTCTCCATGAGGGTATGTGTGTGTCTCCTTTTTCTTTCAGGACTTGTAGGATTCCTTGTGCCATTTGCATATAATTTGGCAGGTTCAGATTTTTTTAAGAGCCCTATGAAGTGCTTTTTGCATGTGTTTTAAAAAGGCATTTGAAAATTGAAAGTGTGATTTATGGAAACTAAATCATCTGTAAAAAAATTGCTTTGGAAAGTAATGATCGCTGGCCATAAAGGGAAATATCTGCGATGCACCTAATGTGTTTTTAACCCTTTATTTGCTGACAATATAGTTATTAATGCTAAACTGGATTTTGGCTTCATATTAAATCAGCTACCTTTGCAATTTTCCAACAGTGGTCTGTTTTGGTAAGAATGAGATAAAATGTATACTTGATATAAAATATTCAAAAATGTAACTATTAGTAACAGTAAGCTTGGCATTTAGGTATACCATGAACACTTTGTCAGATACTCTGTTGGGTGTTAGGGACAGCAGTTAAAACAAAATATTGATAGTTGTATTAGAGTCTATTAGGCTACAGCAAAGGAAGTTTGTTAAAAAGTATAAACTATCCAAGATGATAGATGCATGATATACTTCCTGTAACTTTTGTCTCCTTGTGTGTGTGTGTGTGTGCATGCTTAACTTTTAATTCAGTTACAAACTTTTTTCTATTTGTTTTTCATCTGGATATTTGATTCTGCATATACTAGCCCAATTGAACGGATAAGACTGAGTTGTAGGACTAAAGAATAGACACGCAGAAATGCATTTTAAAAATCTGTTAGTTGGACCAGACCGACTATGTGATGTAATTGCCAAAGCTTTGGTTCATGACCTGAGCTTATGTTTGGTACGAAAAGGTCACATTTCACATTCAGTTTTCTGAAGCTTTCGTTGCATAACTAACCTGTGGAAGGCATGAACACCCATGTGCGCCCTAACCAAGGGGTTTTCTGAATCATCCTTCACATGAGAATTCCTAATGGGACCAAGTACAGTACTGTGGTCCAACATAAACACACAAGTCAGGCTGAGAGACTCTGAGAAGGTTGTGGAAGGGTCCACTTTGGGAGCATTTTGCAGAGGAAGAAACTGAGGTCCGGGCAGGTTGCATTCTCTTGATGGCAAAGTGCAGCTCGTCCTATATGTATACCCCGAATCTCCGCCCCCCTTCCCCTCAGATGCCCCCTATCAGTTCCCCCAGCTGCTAAATATAGCTGTCTGTGGCTGGCTGCGTATGCAACCCCACACCCCATTCTATCTGCCCTATCTCGGTTACAGTGTAGTCCTCCCCAGGGTCATCCTATGTACACACTACGTATTGCTAGCCAACGAGGAGGGGGAATCAAACCGAAAGAGAGACAAACAGAGATATATTGGAGTCTGGCACGGGGCACATAAGGCAGCTCCCGGGAGAAAGCTGGTCCCTGGACTCGTCTTTCACATTTATTTTAAGCCCGGTCTTCCCTGGGCCACCTTTAGCAGATCCTCGTGCGCCCCCGCCCCCTGGCCGTGAAACACAGCCTCTATCCAGCAGCGACGACAAGTAAAGTTCAGGGAAGCTGCTTTTTGGGATCGCTCCAAAACGAGTTGTGCCTGGAGTGATGTTTAAGCCAATGTCAGGGCAAGGCAACAGTCCCTGGCCATCTTCCAGCACCTTTGTAATGCATATGAGCTCGGGAGACCAGTACTTAAAGTTGGAGGCCCGGGAGCGCGGGAGCTGGCGGAGGGCGTTGGTCCCGGGACTGCACTTGCTCCCATCGGGTCGCCAGACTCCACCGGACCCTCCGGCTCCCGGGGCAGGGCCGGGGCCCGAGCTCGAGTCGCGTCTCGGCAGGACATGCGCTGCGCCGCCTCTAACCGCGGGCTGTGCTCTTTTTCCAGGTGGCCCAACGGCTTCTGAGCCTTCAGCACTGCGGGGATCCGATCTGCGCCCTGCCGGCGGCCTCGGACCATGACCATGACCCTTCACACCAAAGCGTCCGGGATGGCCCTTCTGCACCAGATCCAGGGGAACGAGCTGGAGCCCCTGAATCGTCCGCAGCTCAAGATCCCCCTGGAGCGGCCCCTGGGCGAGGTGTACGTGGACAGCGGCAAGCCCGCCGTGTACAACTACCCCGAGGGCGCCGCCTACGAGTTCAACGCCGCGGCCGCCGCCAACGCGCAGGTCTATGGCCAGTCTGGCCTCCCTTATGGCCCCGGGTCCGAGGCGGCGGCGTTCGGCTCCAACGGCCTGGGGGGGTTCCCCACACTCAACAGCGTGTCTCCGAGCCCGCTGATGCTGCTGCACCCGCCGCCGCAGCTGTCGCCCTTCCTGCAGCCCCACGGCCAGCAGGTGCCCTACTACCTGGAGAACGAGCCCAGCGGCTACACGGTGCGCGAGGCCGGCCCGCCGGCGTTCTACAGGTACCCGCGCCCGCGCCGCCCGTCGTCGGGGTGGCCGCCGCGCCCGGCGGGAGGGAGGGAGCCGGGGGAGCCGGGGGAGCCGAGGGAGCCGCGGGACGCGCGACCCGAGGGCGCGCTCAGGGAACCCGGGGCGTGCAGCTCGCCCGGGGGTTCTGCGTGCAGCCCGCGATGCGTTCAGAGCCAAGTTCTCTCGCAGGGCAGCTGAAAAAAACGCGCTCTCCACCCATCTACAGTCGGTGCGAGAGGCAGACCTGAACGCCCGGGGCTTCCTAACTAAACACACGTTGGAAAACCAGACAAAGCAGCAGTTATTTGTGGGGGAAAACACCTCCAGGCAAATAAACATGAGGTGCCTTGAGTCACTTGGGAAGGTCCCGCGCTTGGCATTTAAAGCTGGGGTTGTTTGGAGTTAGCGGAGCTCAGCGGAGTTTTATTTAGCCTTTTAATGTTTTTGTTTAATGTGGCCCCCAAATTTCCTTTCATTTAGAGTCTTTGATTGGAAATTTGTCTGCTGTGATGACTTTCTGGGAAGCGATTCCCCTCCTCCCCACCCCACGTCCTGGGGTTTTAGAAAGCGATTGGGAGTTGAATGGGTCACAGCAAGTTTCTGATTTCAGAGTTAGCTGTCTGAGTCCGCGCTGGAGCCGGTGGCTGGCATGTGACTTCTGACAGCCGGAAATTTGTAGGTGTCCCGCGATTTTAAAATTAGCCGTATGGAAGCACGAATGCTTAAAAATAATCTCCCGGCAGCCCAGGGACGAGCCTGTCCCATCTGGGGAGAATACCCCGGAGTGTCCTACGGGGTCAGCGGGGTCTGCGCCTCGCAGCCACTGTGGAAGGAGCGCGGCCGGTCCAGGACATGGGAGAACACTTTGTGACTTCGATGTGAAGGTTTTGTATACTCCTTTTAATTTTTTTTTCCAACAAGAGTTGTTCTGTCTCCCTCTCCCATTCCTCCCATTTTCCCTTGTCCAGTTTCTCCTTTTTTTTTTTTTTTTTTTTTTTCCTGATGGGCCTGCAGAGGGATTAGGTGGGTGTTTCCGGTGAACACCTGCCTAGGTGGCCACAGGACAGGTGTACCCTGGACTGGGTTTGGGAGCTTCAGGGCACCACATGGCTGGTGCAGAATTAGGCATTTCCCAACTGTACACTGGTGTCTGGACTGGTGTCCCCACATCTTTCTGCTTTGTAAGCTGTGGACCATTTTTTGTTCAGTGTTCTATTTCCAGGGATCTTTATAGCAGAAGGATCTTAGAAGGGGACTAAGGTGCAGGTTGGTCCCAGAAGGTGCTGAAGGGCAGATTCTGGGGGTTTCCAGCGTGCATCTTCAGCCACTTTAGAGGAATTTAGAACATCCCACAGCCACACAGGTTCAAGCTGTCTTTACATAAAAGACAAACAATGAACAAAACTTTTAAAAGTTGGCGTATTTCAAATTAATTTTACTTCTTTTAATTTAGGATTAAAATAGAGAGAAAGGATTTCTTCTGCCCACCTTTTTTTTTAATGGAAGAATAAAATACAGCTATTAAGTCTAATTCCACACAACATTCTAAACTCCTTGATGTGAAGGAAGGCATTGGTATGATGTGAATTCCATAACCTTATGATGGAATCCAGAAACCATTTTTTCCTATTTAATTTTCAGTTCTTTTATTGCAAATTAATGCCACTGAATTTCAATGGGCACTAATGAGACTGCTCCTTGGTGGATTATTTACTGCCTTGCTAATAATTACGAAGTGAATCTGGTCAAATACAGAGGGGATCACATCTTTTTCAAAATTGTTCATCATCCCAGTGATAAGCAGTATCAGTGTAATATGCCCTATCTTACATTTTTTTTTGCATCAAATGATATTCAGATACTCTTAGAATAATAAAAAAGACAAGGAACTTAAAAGTTTAAAAAAAAACTTACAAAAATAGGACTCTGTGTGGAAATTCAGTTTTAGAAATTTTCAGTTTTTCCTGTGTTTTGTTTCCTGGAAAGTCTTTCCTCTGTTGTTAGAATTCTGCCTCTTATTAACCAGCAAGGAAAAGAAGGATCTATGCAATTCTTCATAAGGACAGATGTTATTTAGCATTTTTCCCCTCTTAGTTTTTCTGCTTAAGTAACTCTGAGTGTAAAGGAAAGGATCGGTTAGCCTCTTTTAGGGAACTTTACGTTTCTTAAGTAGTTATCAAAAGTTTTGAGACTGAAAGCAGTATTTTCAAACTGCTTGTCATGACCCAGAGGGTCATGAAACCAGTTTAGTGAGTCTAGGATATTCTTTTAAAAGGAATAAAACAGAAAGGAATATAATAGAAAATATCAGAATGTGTGGTATTTAGTAAGGATAAGTTTTGTTTCCTGAAAATCTGTTTTAATTATACATGCTTCTGTGTGCTGATTGTGATGTAAAATGTATTTCTTACTGTGGATTGAATTCAAAGAAAAAGAGAGCTAATGGCCTAAAATATTATATATTCAGTGGAAAATAAAAAATCAGGCAACTGTATAGTTGTTTTTATCTATACAAACCAAAATGCTATTTTGATTATTCTTATTTTTACCTTACAAATTAGGCTGGTGCCTTTAGTCAGTTCGGCTAAGCTTTACTATGTGATTCTTAGCTTTTTTATTTGTACTGTCCTCCTGAGTGTCATACTGGATGTTCAGAGAATTTACGTGCGGGTCACATCATTTAGCTTTGAGATGCTATGGTTACTTTCTTCCATTTCTTTCATAATCTGCAGCCATATCTGTGTGTGAAGAACTGTAATAGATAAAATTTCTCTGGGCACATAATAATATAAGAAAGATTGTCACATGTCCCAACAAACTATTGTTAATATAAATTTGTTACTTGGCAAGCTGAAATTTTGCAAGATGTTACCCCAAATTTCATGATGAAGGAAATGGGGAGTCATCTTATCCTGGGTTCCTTTTTTGAGTTCAGACAACTTAGGAACTTCAAATAAAACTAAAGATAATGCTTAACTATATTATCTATCCTTTTTAAAGTTCAAATTAGGAATTTAATGCTGCATGCTTATTTCAGTTTTGTTAATCAGTATTCTTAAACATTAGACTCACTTCTCCAAAAAACCTGGCAAATATATAAACCTTTTGTCTCAAAACCAATGCCCTGCTAATTTGTATCCTGTCCATCTGCATATTTTGGACAACTAATTTGTCCGCTGGTAATCATTTAAAACTCTTTCTTATCTTTGAACAGAGACCGATTTCCAAAGCGAGATTTAAGTGACTTTCAAGTTTCCAATACATTTTTTCTTTTACTTAGGTAACATTTCAGCCCCCTTTCTTTCTGATCTTACTTTTTTTTGTTAATTTAAATGGTTACTGATTACCTGGCACTTTGTGCTGGTCTAAGAATAGTCCAAAGAATCACATATTCCCTCATGAATGAACGTATTTTCAGATGAAAACGGAATCACATCTTCAATCCCCATTTCATTTTCACCTCCTCCATGTGGCTTGTACCTATTTGGAAGAAAGCTCCTGAAGGATAATTGCCACTTATTCTAATCTTCTTTCTCACACTCATTTAATTTGGATCCCTGGCTATAGTTGTTATTTACTTTTGTGAATATATTTAGGCTATGACATTCATAATTTGGGAAAATTCTCAGGTTTGAGAATTTTGGTTTCTTATAGTTTTAAGGATCTGTAAGACAGGTGTATGAACCTGCCAAAGGGAGGAACATAGATATCAGGAAAAACTAGAAAAGATGCCAGACTTATCATTAATGATGAAACAATAGTAACTTTGTCAAGTGAGATTGTATATGTTAAAGTGGTACAGAAGCTAAACAAGCACTAGGTTTTTTTACTATTTTATTCACATGTTAATATTTGTTTTGGTGCTTTCATAGGCTAAAAAACAGATTTAAGTGGTCAGGAATTTTGTTATAAATATGGAATGATGGTGATATAAAATATCTTTCTGTGGAAGTCAAATTTAAGTAAAAGCTTTATCACTATCTGCAACATTTATCTGCAGCCTGGCTTATCAGGTTATCAGAAAGAACATTTATTTTACAGATATGTTTTAAAAATGTCAAAACCCTGATTATGTGAAAACAATTTTACATAAGGAAATATATGAATTTTTAATTATATTTTTCTGAAATTCATACTCAGCACGAAATTAGTACATCTTAACCCCTCCCTGTGACTTCATTATTATTTTTAATGTAACTTTAGAAGAAACCAGTAGAGAGAGCAGCGTGCTAAGTGTGTTTCTTTCTTTTCCAGACAACTTTGAATGGAGAGGAGCAAATTAGTCTTTTGGTTTAATTCTGTCTCAGTTTGCTTATCTAAAAAAGAAAAACAGAGTGGCTACAATTGTTTAGAACCAGATGCATACCCCAGAGAAAGATGCCTTATTAATCCAAAAAATACTGCCACTTGAATGCAAACCAGCCAAAGCGAAAGTGTAAGGGATTTCATGGAAAGGAGGTAGTTCATCAAAGTTACTGAGGAGTTTTGTATTTTAAACTCTGCCATTGAATTGACGTGTAATGTCACTAAAATATATATATATATATATATATATATATATATATATGTTTCTGAGCTGTTTCCTACTCTGTCTCTAAAATATACTCATACTAATCTCTGAAATCCCAGGACTTAAGTGGGCTGGAGGTTATGGGGAGCACCTTTATAATATTCTTAATCTTATGAGGGAAGAAACCATAATTGCTGAGTTCTCTGCCTTGGCTAATATCATGAGGGACTATGAAGAAAGCTTTGCATTAATCAATAGCATTTTAAATTATGTGTATATTTTTAGACCCTATTAAAAATAGGAAGCATAGAGAGACTATTTTGGTCCTAACCGACAAAATTTTATGTGTTGAATAAAGTAATAATTTCAAAAAGTGTGGGCAAATAAGAACAAGTATGACTTTCTTACAACCCGCTTGTAAGTCATATGGTGTTGGTAACGATCCATGAGTGGGATGATGTCAATGATGATGATGGAAATGAA